GGTTCATATCACAGAACAAAACAGAAACTTACATGATATGCTTATTTGACAGTCAATTCTTGTTTTGTAAAAGAGCAGGAAGTGTTGGTGTCAATACTATAAAACACTACTTCAAAAGGCTGTGGCTGGTTTCCATAGCAACCATTTTGAGTAAAACTCTAGAAATTTAATTTCTCTTCTTGAGTGCAATAGCACACAAGTGATCTTTCTTCACCATATTTAAACAACCTTTTTGGTCCATATTGAGGGTACCATACCACCTTAATCAAATTATCGTGACCTGACATAGATAATTTATGGCCAAAGTGGGATAAAGAAAATATTAAGGATTGTACTTTTTGGTATGCTTCAGCGGCATATCAAGCTCATTTGGTATTGATATGGGTATTTCTAGCTAAAGTATGAACCCATATGATCAACCAAACTTGCCTATTATACAACTGAAGCATACCAAAAGGGTACGATCAGGTATAAATAGCCTGCTAACTGTTTTCAAAGCTTCACAAAATTGTTCGAAGGTACAGGACAACTCGGATTAATATTAATCGAATTAGTATTAATCCTAATGATTATTATAATCCAGTAATAGATTATTATAATCCAGAAATAGATTATTATCCTTTACTGAGGTTTGAGCCATGCCTTAATCAATTAGGATTAATATTAATCTTAGATTAATATTAATCTGATAAATTTTAATCCTACATAGGATTGCTATTAATCCTATGTAGCACTAATATTATTCCTACCTACCTATTATTTCTACCTACCTATTAAAGTGCCTATGAAGTAAAAAATAATTGCTGCTTATTTGAAAGGCTTTTCAAAGTGAAGAATGACGTTTCCCTTTTTGGAATATCTGTTTTTGTTTTAGGGATATTTACGTTTCTGTATCATGCAACTGAGGAAAGTGATGACGTCATAGGTGGTTCCACTAAGACAGCACAACATTTAATCGAGGATAACCCTAGAAATATTAAAAGCTCAGTGTTCTTTAAACTTGGCACCAGAAATGTACATCACAAAAGAAACATAATGACACCTGTCATGCTGTTGCCATGACAACAGTTATGCCACTGGTTCTGTTTTAATTAAGACTAAAATTCCCAGATTTTACCTTGAACAAGGATCATTTACTCCCACCAATCTAATGGGGAGGGTTAAGACAATGTGGGAACCTTGTGTGTTCCGAGCAAGACCTTCTGTCCCACTTTAAAAGGTTGCAAATGGGGATGTTTGGTTTTTCATAGAAAGAGACTGGAGCCAAGAGTGTTGCCATGACAACAACATCGTAGGTGTCATTCTGTACATTGCTGGTGCCAAGTTTGAAAAACACTGCTTTAATATTTCTAGAGTTATTCTCGATTTTAATAAGTGTTGTGCTGTTTTAGTGGAACCACCTATGACGTCATCACTTTCCTCATTTGCATAATACAAAAACGTGAATATTTCTAAAACGAAAAAAGATATTCCAAAAAGGAAAACGCCATTCTTCTTTACTTTGAAAAACCTTTCAAATAAGCAGCGATTATTTTTTACTTCATAGGCACTTTAAATTCAGATTCATAGTTGCCATCGTGACATGCCAGCTCCGAACCTCCAGACAGTTAGTGTCTTTGGGATTGTCGCTATTCTAATGCAGCTGGTAGTTATTCCCTTTCTCAAGGTCCCCTCTTTTGTAAAAGCAAATGCCCACGGCACAGATTCGCTGACCCAGAGGCACTTGTTCCTTTTCATTTACTTCTAGGGTCAACATTGTGGTATCTACCAGCTCTAGCATATGCAAGTGATTGTCATGTAAATGATGTGATCAGTGTTATGTCCTATCAGTCCTGTGTTATGTCTGTAGTGTGTCTGTCATATAGATCTGTTTTATCCGAACATTCACAGGAACTTTATCTGGATTATAATAGAGATTAATATTAATCCGGATGATATTATTAATAATAATTTAATCCTTCCAAATTTTTTGCTGTGCCTTAATCTATTACTGAAATATAATAATCTATTACTGGATTATAATAATCTATAATAATCTATTAGTAATTACTGGATTACAATAAGATAATAACACTATTATAATCTATTATTATTATAATCCACAGATTAATATTAATCCGAGTTGTCCTGAAAGTAACTTCTCTACAGCTGAAGTTAAACTAAACATTAGCCAAGCCACCACACTGAAGTAACAAATCAAACGACAGCTAATAGATCACGACTGAAGGACAGGGGTTACAAAAACCAAGGCTATCCACAGAAGATATTTAATTACAAATCTTGTCTATTTAGAGAATAATATTTACAATCATTTTCCTCCTTACAAGCATTCTTCTCTATTGAGCCTGGGGCCAACCCAAGAATTCCATTATAAAATTTCGAAACAACTCACAGTTATATCACTTTTTTTTTAATGCATTATTTTTTTAAAATTTAGAGTAAGGCTCTAGAGCCCAAATATACTGCGGTTAAAATTTATGGTTCTTTTTTTGAGGTCATGGATGAAGTTAATTAGGGATAGCTGGCTTAGTAAGGCTGGCATTTCACTCTGGAAGTTATCTAGCATGAAAATAATAACTAGGAGTATTACTGACTTAACTATTCTAACCAGATGATATGCAAGTCAATTTTAGGTACATGTAATCAATAAGCATTTTTATAGTGAGGTTGCCATGCTGGAAAATTTGCTGGTACCTATTTACTCTTCTTGGAAAATATTAGAGTATCGTGCACAAGGGCTGTTGAGTAGCCACAGCCAGGCTTATGAATCCAAGCCACTCCTCCCAGAGTCGAGTCAACAAATAAATCAGGCAGTGGACCAACCAACCCTCCCATTCGACTCACCCAGCAATCCATGGACCAACAGACGGACGGACTGACCCACCCAGGCACCCATCCACACACCTACTCAACACACTGACTGCCCACCAATCTATCAAACAATCAATTAAGGTTACTTCCCACCTTCAAGGGCACGAAAAATTGTTTTTTCTTTTCTTTGACAAAACTTGAGTCAGTCATTTTATCTGAACTTTACAAAAGAAAACTATTACAAATTTCAAAAAGCGGCCGAGTTATTTAGAAAAAACATATTTTCAAGTAAAGTTAATAAACCAGGAAGGTGTCATAATCGCTAAATAGACGCAACTACCAGGGGAAAGTTTTGCGGCAAATGCTCATCTTGGAGCTCATATTTCATGTTATTTGGTATTGTTTATATCGCGCATTTGTTCTTTTGCCTTTGGCTACTTCGCCCGTTTTAGTTTCTTTCTCTTCAATGTGACAGCGAGATAGAAAACAGGTTGCAATGCGATGCTTTTCCCGGGAAATCCTGATCCATTGTCATTGATGCTAGGAGGTCCTGTTGTTCCATTGGTTTGCGGTTTCATAAGTTGAGATAATCTCCTGGCGTGGCACGAGTTGTTTTTGAATCTTTATGAGCTAAAATCTTGCATTTGATTTTGGGAGGAATACCTCCACTTTGAGCGAATTTATAGGGTATGCAGATTTGATGGATATTAGTGAAATTTCGCCAGAACATTCCAGAGATAATGACAAACCAAAGTGTGTCGGGAAATTTTGATATTTAACATATTTTTCCTGTGGCGTCCATTTACGCAACACGCCTTGTATATTTTTAGCTACTCCAACTTTAGATGCAGATATCTAGACAACCAATCAGAATAGCGGAAAAGCCTGACACACTTTTGTTCATTGATGCCGTGTGAATAAGACTGTGCAGCCATTTTGCTCGTGTGCAAGCGGTGTCCGATAGCCGATAAATTCAACAGAAGAACCCTCGGTCGTTTCATGCCTTACCCGCTCCTGACACTTCGTAAAAGAAAAACTTGCTTAAATTGTATTTTTTATTGTAAACTACATTTATTAAGCTTTCTTTTGATATGTAGTTTGTTGGGGTTTCATTGAAACTGGCCCGCGTGTGATTTTTTCCCGAAGGACACCCGCGAAGATGGGAAGTAACCTTAACCAACCAACCAACTAATTGACCATAAATTATATTTTATTTTATTTAACACATGATTTTTAAAAAATGTACCTTTAGCCTGTGACGCACTAGTGGCTGATGCCTTCAATTCTTCCAGCTTTCTGTCAATTTCTTGAAGAATATCTTTTATGTTGTCATCATCTTTTTTCCATTGCTTTAAAAGCTCTTCATAGTGGTCCTCAATTTCAGGATCCATGCATTCATTCTTGAGATCATCAATTGCCACTCCATAACAGGCTCCTCCCAATCTCACCAGTGCATCCCGGATGTCCTGCCAGTAAGCATTAAATGCTGTGTCATCAACACAGGCTTGGTCAGCATGAGCATACACAGTATTTCTGAAATACTTTACACGGGCAATGTCTGCCACCACGCTTGTGTCAGTGACAGGAGGAAGTGCATCCCAACCAGTTGTTGGGGGGATTAACCCGCATATGTTCCTCAGGAGGACCGTCAGGAGTGTGATGTCAAAATCCCTTGATGATACTGAAGAACGTATTGCAGGGTACAACTTTCCCCACTGTGTTGCATTTAAAACTCTCTTCTTTTGAAGTACCTGAAGAGCAGAATGATTTCTCACTAGGACATTGTGAAGGCCAGCAGGAGGATGGATCTTGTCAAATGTTTCTCTTAATACTTGAGACCCGACATCTACCAGAAGACGACAAAGTCTTGCATAGTTTGTGGTTTCCTTAGTGGAGGAAAATGATGCTGAAGAGCCAGCCATCATCTACCTGGCAGTGGGCAAATTTATGAGGAAAAACTGTTAAAACTTATTATGTACACTACAGGTTTTCATTCAGTGAGATCATCATCATTAGATCATAACTCTTGCGATGATCTCATTGACTGTAAACCTTAGCATCTAACCAGAGTGAAGTTTATAATTATTGGCAAATTGAAATGATAAACATATTCTAGCTAGACAAAAAAATTGGTGAACACATACATGTTGTTCAATCAATCAATCAAATTCAATCAATCAATTATTAATTTTTTAAATACTGTGCACTATTGACAGAATTTTAAAATTTGCATCAGGATTATAAAATATATATGGGAAAAGAAATAAATGTTGCATGTGGCTATGGAGAAAATAAAAAAAAATGTGCGTGGTAACCAGAGTNTCTTATGTGGCTGTAGATTGAAAGCACTAATCAATGATAACAAAATGTTGTTCTTTTGACATACAATATGTCACACTGAACAGCCACCAGTTCTCAATGTTTTGCTTAAGTGCGAGTAGACAAGCAATTGAGCTAAGGGGGGGGGGGGGGGGGGGGGGAAGACCCGAGTAGCCATTCAGGCTTTTGAGCTGGTTACCCCCAGATATCTCATTTTCTTAACGTTTTTTTGACTGACAGATTTGATTCTAAGCTACGTTAGACTGATCATACCATTAACCATAAGCTACATCGAGACAACCCGCTGTAAAAATGCAAACTTCAGGTATTCCTGCTGGTGTGAGTAATTGTTCATGTGAACAGATCGCACTCCACTCCACAAGTGGCTCTCACAGCCATGAGTGAAAATTGCAAAACTTACATCATGTGTTCACAAGTACAGGGCCCCTTTTGATACCAGCCTATGGCTGAGGGGGCTATCCTGCCTAAATAAAGACAACTTGCACATTGACTTAACCCTGATTGTTTTGAAAAAAAGGAGCGATTCCCTTTCAATAATATGTTGGTAACTGTAAGTAGCCCACTCCAAATACACGCAGAGCAAAGTTTCCATTGATTTTTTAGTCTTGTTTACTGCTGCTTACAAATAAATAAGTAAATAAATTATAATAATTAAATTATAATATTTAGAGAGGAAGCCACATCAGCTCTAGCTGGTTTTCATGCAGGTTCTCTATGCTCAACAAATTAGAATTTGGAAATGTTGGTTTTTCAGGAGGGAGTAAAACCAGAGTACCCAGAGAAAAACCCTCGAAGCAAGGCGATCAGAACCAACAACAAACTCGACGCTTATATGACACCAGGCAGGAATCGAACCCGGGCCACACTGGTGGGAGGCGAACCCTCTCACCACTGCACAACTGGAAAACCTGGAAGTTTTGTCTGCGATATACATGTTTGTTTTCATTATCAACAGCTGACTCTATTAGTCAAAACAATAGGACAATAGCATGACTTTTGGAGGGCACACAGTTTATTTGTGGCCCAAGTTGCATCATTTGTGCTCGAGCGGAGAAAGGATGCAAATGATGCTACGAGGAATTATCATTATTATCAATATAATACATAAACGCAATAATGTAATAACGCCATAAGGTGTAAACTTGAATGTTTGTTTAATTAATTATTAATCAATTAGCCTTGCGGGAAGGGGGGCTGGGTGGGGTGGCTAAAGGTACCTGTGTCCTTTACACAAAACATGCTAACATGCTTTCTATGCTAACAGGACAAAAATATATATATGGTTTTGCAAATCTCATGTTATTCTTGTGGTGCTATTCTCTTAATAACAAAAGCAATTTGCTCCAAATGCATACACAGATAAGTTAGTGTCAAAGTCGACTCTATGTTAGGTGAAAGATACATTTCATACAGGACTACCCACGAACATTGAGTGCTTTTCCTTGTGGTAGAAAATAACATGTAAGACGCATGCGTTCTAGCATTACTAGTGTGATAAACTCTGTTCTCTAGTTCAGATGCACGCTTTTTTATATTTTTTGTATTGAGTCAGATAACATACTCCCGTTTTGGCTGTGAATAGCAGCCATATTTCAGGTAATTAATGTCGGTTCTCCTTCTTTTAGTGCAAAGAACGCAACTGTGACTGCATACCATCTGGAATTCTCGATTCAAGAAATGTCATCTGCTGTTTTATAACTATTGTGTGTTTGCCGAGGCTCAAGTGAAGAATGGAAACATATTGCTTCTCCTTAGCAGCTTGTTTGTTTCCTCTCTATATATGAAAGAGAGCCAAAAGTTCTTTTATTCAGCCATGACTTTCCCACGTTAGTTACATGTAAAACTAGGAAATTTGTGACAAAAGAAACTTCGCAATTATTGCCATGGACTCTGTGGCACTTACTGAAACTGGCAGTTAATTTCATCAGTCGATGAAGTGACTCACTCACCGATGTTGGATATGATATCGGTCAAGTAAAGATCTCTAACTTCAATACTTCTCATTGAAATGCTCCTCAGTTGTATTACTCAGTAGCATTGTGTATTAGTTTAACATGATTTTATTGTTAACACCAAAGTTGGCAACAGAATAAGAACGCACTATTACGTGACTCGACGTGACTATTTGATATTTAGATTAGTTCTTGCTTATTGGTGAAATGAAAATATGCGTTTTGAATAAAACAAAATCGTCCCTCTTTGACTTTTCAGGCTGGCAGATATTTAACTTTTATATTCCATTTATCTCCAGCAGTGAATAAAAAATACACATCTTTCTTATATTTTCATGGAAACAAAGCTATCTTGTTGCATACATTGGCGAGGAAAACAAAAGTATCGAATTACAAATGTTGGTGTGAAAAGTAAAATTGTCACATTTGCTACAAAATGAACAAAACTCAACATAAACTACAAAAATAAATTTAAAACCATCTTGACAAATGGTAATTGTAAGTTATTTTTGGGCCTTGAAAGAAAAAGCAAACATGAAACATACACACTGTTAAGATTATGTCATATCAAGTTTTTATCTGTTCATTGGCAGGGGTATTTTGCAGAACGCTAAATGCCAGTGCATTTGGCATTCAGCATTTGGCGTTCAGCGTTCAACATTCTGCAAATTATCCCTGCCATCCACTCATATTCTGCAACAGGGAAAAGGCCTAGTTGACTTAATCAAGGGAGAGAACGGTAGGGGTGAGGACCTGTGTGACTACTGTATCAGAGCTGTAAAATTAAACTTTGCACTATCTGAGATTGCCTCACTAGTTTGACACCACAGGGTGTCAAACTGTACAACACAAAATCTAGCATGCAAACCTAAATCTAAACATGCAAACATACATCCATCTATGTTCTCAAAAACAAAATTTCATTGACTTGTCAGTGATAATCTTGATACAACTCTGTCCTAGTAGAGCTAACTTTCGACAAGGCTTATCGTAGCTCACATAAGAGGAATTATAACCTTCCTGTATGACTTTGGAAGGCAGAAAGACTAAAATTCACTTTTTTTTTTTTTCATTGAATCATGAATTGTGCAATTTAATTAAGAGACTCTTTTCAACATGAAATGCGAGTCTACAAACGTAGATATGTCAAAACTCCATTGGAGAGCTGATCTATAGCTTTCTAAAGGCCTGCATGCATGTCCTAAAGGTCAGAGCAAGAGCTTCCTATGTCAACTAAGAACTGATTAAATTTCAGGCAAACAGTGGCCCATAAATCTGATTAAGCGAAAACTCTGTATGTTGTTTACGTCAATTATCAACCGGAAAACCACGTAAATAAATTCCCTCCACAAATCACAGACAGCTCTGATGGTTAACTAAGCCGAGAGCACCCAAAATTGATAAAGCAAGGAAATTGCTACTCACATCAGCGGTTGAAGTGATTTTCCTGCCTCTGTTTGTGACAATGCTTTCTTAGCAAATAGCAATGTCCCGGATATAGTGGAATTTCATCAAGCCAGAAAGTATACCCTTTCCAACACTACAGATTTTATCTAAGTCTTAAGCCACATCAAAGTTCACGCAAAGTGTCGCCAACAGCAGCTAGAAATGCCTGTTCAATTGTTCTTTCTGTCTTCCAAGTCCTAACTAATGTGGCTAAAGTTTTTTGCTGTCTAAAGCAAGCACAGTAATTTATCACCACAATGCAAAATGAAAGAGGCATTTGGGGTGTTTGGATTTGGCCTCTCTGAAATGTACTTTCCTTCCCCAGGCTTGAGGGACGTAAGTATAAACAAAAGGTGTTTTTTTAGGCAGCATTACCACATTATACTGGCTGCTTCTTTGGAGAAAATATATTCTCATATATTGGGCAGAGTCTGACAATTTGTTTGATAATTTAAAATATAAAACCCTGGTATGTAAAAAGAATTGCAATGATGTTTTCTGTTTGCTGGCTAGCTACTTGAATATTTTAATTTTTAAGTCATAAATATCCTTTCAGAAACTAAAGAAATTCATTCAGTGCAGCTATGTGAACTTTCCTAAAGTATCGGACAAAAAAAAAAGCCCAAGAATTTAGATACATTTACATGTATCTCGATTCAATTGTAAATATAATATCAGCAGCATCATTACTCCAATTCCAAAAATATTTGTTATCAAAGTAGTTATTTTGCAACTGAATAAGGTAGGACATCAACAGAGACACAATCCATCGGCATACATGACATGCGTTTATTCAATACTGAGCTTGCAATGCATTATAGGGCGATTTTCAAATATGGCTGTTTTCGTTTTTTTTTTTTTTTTGTGAGTGGAGAGAGACTTTGTTGCTGTGTTTTGGCCCATATTTCTCATGTTAAAAGCAAAACAGGACCAGAGTAGCTGTTGTTTTCTGTTTAATTTATTGTGTGAATGATTTTTTGACCGCTTTCATGAGAAGATTGAAGTCATTGGACAGATTAGATGGGAATGAAAACTCCATGTTTAGGCGCCCACTGGGGCTCCTTGAACAAAACTTTAGTCACCTGCACTCGTAACTAAGGTGCCTCAGGCGACCGGATGCCTGTTAGGGAGCAGCCTTGGATTTCAACTAAAAATAATAATAATATGCTGTGTAACTTCTGCCTCACAAGTGACAAATAATTCATTGCAAGTCTTGACTGTAACTTTCACAATTCTCAAAAGCTCGGTGGAAAAATTTCCTCATCCATAACCTCAAATCTCGGCGCATGCATAGAAGAGAATACATCAAGAGTTTATGAAATGGTACGATAATGGCGACCACCCGTTCGAATTTACCACAACTTTTATAGCGCAAAAACGTTTTCCACTGCCATTTTCCGTCATTGTCCATACAGAACAATATAACGTAGCTTACATAAGTAATAGAACAAGAAGTCTTGCTCTTTGATATTCGCAGCTTACGCTTATTTCTTTATTAAAATATAAATAAGCGGAAGTGAAACATTAAGCTTAAAAGCTCAAGCTTAATTCAAGACCAACGGGGCCAACCAGGTTGCAGCTAGTCTTTGAAGGCAGTGGAATAACTAATCTACAGAATTTTCAAAAAGGAATGATAAACTTTGGAATTAATATCAGTTTCATTACAACAATACGTCCTGCCATTCTGTAACTGTTTCGTCAGACGTCTCTCAATGTAGTTGCGTAAAAAAAGGTTCACTGAAAGGCAAATTGACCCGAATTGAAACTTACCACGTTAGTTCTTGTCCAAACCCTGGAATCCTACAAAAAGAACTGGCAGCACTGAAACAGAGACATTGTATTCCATTCAAAGAGCTTTTCTATATTTTATGCGGTGCGGAGCGCGAAGGCACTAGGTTAATTCTTCGTGACGTCATTGCCTGTCTGTGTTTATTTATATCCAAGCGTGGTCACGCCCCCAAGTTGTCAATTACAGTTGCAGTAGGGTCACGCTTCTCTCAAAAGAGCGAAATTTTTAAATTTTTAGAAACTATTCAATTTGGGAAGCCCAAGTTTGACCTGGGGCTAAAACGTGGTTTAGAGGAGTGCTCTATAAATTACGACTGAACCCCATTTTCGACCCCAGAGCTCTTCTCTTTTGCGCATGACGGACATAGACTTTCTAAAAGTCCCTTCCAATAATTTATTTCTGGCCTGTTGGTTTCGCCGTTGGAAAGGACTTTTCCCACTTGCAGCGCGCCAAATTTTACCGGTGGATTTTTCCACCGGTGACGTAAATACACATTA